GTCAACCCCTACTGGTCGCTGAGGACCTCGGAGGCGGGCGCGGCGAAGTGACAGGCGCCGTAGCCCATGGCTTCAGCGAACGGTAGGTAGCCCCTCCCCGGGTTTTCACCCAACAACGTGTCGTTGCGGTCGCACCACTTGAATGTGACCTTGTATTGCATTGGCTTGTTGCCGTGCTTGTGATGCGTGATGATGCAATCGACTTCATGATAACCATCCATAGGAGGGTCCTGCGATCGTCGGCTCGGGAAGTCGTTGCTCTTGGCTGGTGTATATGTGGCCAGCTTGGAGGCGTGGAAGATCGGGTGCACTGGTAGACGCGGCGGGATGTCGATCACAAAAGAAGGGCCATCAGGCTCATCACCCACGGCTGATATGACGGTCCATGGTCCAAACCACTTAGGAAGTAGCTTGCACGAGACGTCTTGTTCAAGTGGAAACTCCTCCGTGGAGACCCACACAAGGTCGCCGGCGCGGATAGGGCATGGCACGCGACACCTGTTGGCTTGCTGTTGCATGCGGACTTGAGCCTTTTGCATGTTGGCGTGGGCTTTAGCCAGCAAGTTCCTATACTTCCGAATGGAGGCGGGAAAACAAGCGGCGTTGATGTCGGCAGTCCGAGGGAATGGAAGATCAGCGAAGATACAGCCTTTTTGACCACTGCAGTGCAACTCGAATGGAGTCACGTTGATCGCCGGATGCAACGAAGTGTTGTGGGCGAAGTCGATGTCGCGGAGGCGGTCAACCCAATTCTTTTGATCTGGACGGATGAGCGTACGAAGCATCATTTGAGCAGTTTGATATGCCCGCTCCTTTTGCCCGTTTGTTTGTGGATGCCGAGCGGAACTGGGTTATATTTCGGTGTCAGACTCCTTCATGAGAGCAGTCTACAATGCCGACATAAAACGACTGTCATGGTCGCTGATGATGTCTTCCGGAACGCCGTGGCCGCAAGTCCAGCCGGTGTGCGAGAGTCGCGCAAGCCCGGGAGCCGTGGCGTAGTACGTGCAAGGTAGAAATCGTGTGTACTTGCTCAAACGGTCAACGACCGTGAAAATGCCGTCGTGACCGAAGCGGTCGTGGGGGAATGGGCCGGTGACGTCCATAGCAATGGAGAGGCCGGGTTCCCGCGGGATGGGCAACGGGTGTAACTCCATAGGGGTTGCGATTGTGGGGCTAGCTTCGTCCGCAAACTTCACAAGAGTCGCAATACCAAGTGACGTCGGTAATGAGGTCGGGCCACTGGAATCATTGTCGAAGTCTTGTAATCGTACAGTTGATTCC